TATTTTGGTGGCAAAGTTGCATGTGAATATTTTACTTTGGTGTGGTATTTAAAAAATGTAATCTCCTTTTTCTGTGATGTAGCTCTTATTTTGGTGGCAAAGTTGCATGTGAATATTGTACTTCAGTGTGGTATTTAAAAATATATAATCTCCTTTTTCTGTGATTTAGTTCATGTGTATATATATATACACAATGATGTCAATGAAAAAACAAACATGATTATTTTGGTGGCAAAGTTGCATGTGAATATTTTACTTTGGTGTGGTATTTAAAAAATGTAATCTCCTTTTTCTGTGATGTAGCTCATGTGTGTGTGTATATATATACACACACACACACAATATTATGCAATCATAATACTTTTAAGTATAGTGTGCTTTAAATATTAAGGTATACTTTGTCTAAATCTTTTCAGGAAGTAATATCCATAATATGATATGCTATAAGTATATATTGAAATATTAATCTCTTTACAAGTATTTGAATTTTAAAAAGCTCAGTGAGTCAGAAATAGATCTATAACACTCATGTAACTGTTTTATTATTTAGCATGCTTGGTATTTTTTTTCCCAGGATATCCTTGGATGACAAACTTTATCAAAGAGATTTGGAAGTTGCCTTAGCCTTATCCGTCAAAGAAAAATCTGCGCGTATCCTTGAGGTGCAAAATTCAGAAGAACAAGGTTATTTTACAGTTCAATGCAACACTCTTTATTTATATGTAGTGAGTTTGACCATGACTTAATGTATTTTACAGTGAAGTAGGTTGAAAGTCATGTTTTATTTCAATATGTCATGATAAGAAGATGAGAATTTTGAGGTAGTGCCTGTCTTACTATGTTCATGTTTTATTCTGTGAGGAAGAAAACTCTTCTATAAAAGATCTTCCAAACATACAGTTTGATTAGAGACAGATAAAAATGTTAGCTATTTAAATTCTTAATATCTTGACTTTTTGTAGTACAGTTTTTGAAAACTAATTTTCTATATTATTGTTTGGTTTTTTTCTGGATCCTAAAACAGGTAAGAATATTGAATCCGAAGATGTACACAGGAGACCCCTTTTTTCCAACTGCAGTGTAGACAGTGATCTTTTAGGTGAGTTGTTTTCATACTGTCTTTTTAGAAATAGTATTCCAAGATACATTTAAGTAGCTTATCTCTGTTTCCATTGGTTTCTTTTTCTCACTTACATGGAAATAAAGACTAAAGGATGAAGGATGCATTAATTTTTTCATTAAAAATTTGTTCCCAGGTGTAAAATGGGAAAACCTCTGCATTGCTGAAGGAGATTGTTTCAGCTCACTGAAAGTTAGTTGGAAAAAGCAACAGACATGTGATGTTTTTAGATGCTGAGTTTATTTACTTCTTCAAGAAGCTACACTTACCCTCCACTCCTTAATGGGTCCATAATGCCTAACCATCAAATAAATGTGACCAAAACATTTGCTGTGCCATTGGAAACTTTTTCAGTTTTTTCCAGTTTTATTTTTGGTCTTCTGTCCTTGATGTGGTTTCGGCCTCAGCTCAGACCATGTGGTTCTTCACTCGCTCTCCCTCCACCCAGTGAGATGGGGAGAGAAACACAACAAAGGGCTCGTGCATTGAAAATGAGGACAGGGAAGACTCACTCACTAATTATGATCACTGGCAAAAGAGACTCAACTTGGGGAAGAAAAATCAATTTAATTCGTTACCAATCAGAGTAGGATAGTGAGACATAACAACCACATCTTAAAACACCTTCTCCCCACCCCTCCCTTCTCCCCACCAGCAGCAGAGGTGGACAGGGAATGGGGGTTGCAGTTGCTCAGTCCAGGAGCTGCAGTTGGGTCTCTGGTCTGTCACACCTCCTCCCTCAGCTCTGATGTGAACCTCTCTGGGGTCTTCTTGCTCTGTCACGAGCTCTCAGTGTAGTCACAGCTGGCGTTGGGTACAGCCTCCCACTCTGGCATGGGGTCCTCCATGGGCTAGGAGTGGGTATCTGCTCTGCCATTAACCTCCATGGGCTGCAGGGGATTCCATTTACCTCCCCCCCACTCTTCTCCTTTCTGACCTGAGTGTCTGTAGTTTGTCTCACCTCCCCTCTGCCTCTCCCCTCATGTCATGGATGGTCTTTTGTTCGTACCATGGTCTCCTGATGTCTCTCTCCTTCCTTGCCAAACCAGTTCTTCCCCTGATAAGAGCGGATTCGAAGAGGGGTTTCCGTATCGCTGATTCTCAGCCTGGGCTGGAGGTGGGTCTGCTTTGGAGCCAGGGGAGCTTCTCGAAGCTTCTCACAGAGGCCGTCACTATAGTCCCCTTTCCCATTACCAACAATGCCTCCCCCCCTACCCCCAACCCAACACAGTCCTTTTGTTAGCCTGATTGCAGATAAATATTGGTAACTTTCACAACCAGAAAGTACAGTTTGGTCAGTTGAAAGAGTAAAATGAGAATCACATGAAAACAAGTGCAGATGATATGCTTTGGTATAGTGTACTTCAAAATCACAAAAGGTGATTCTGGAGACTCAAATACTTGCTTCTTTTTGAGCAGGATAATAGATTTACTGTGAATTTGTAATAATTAGAGCACCTTCTGTTTTCTAGGTCTCAATCAGGTTATGGATGATGACCTATCTAGGGATGACTGTAGGCGAAGGACAGCAGCATCTAAAGTTCCAGCACATCAGAAGGTCCTAACCATTGACAGTGATGACGGAGACCATGCTACTGACTCTGAGCCAGAGTCTGTACCCAGTAAGTTGTTCTCTGTAAAAACCCTCTCCTTAGATGGGCTTTGAATGTGATGACTTACATTTAGTTTATATTTTCACTGAAATGCTTAATGCTTCTACTGTATTTCCCTCCCCTCCCTTACTGAAGCGTTATCTTTTAATATTACTGGCATCTCTGTTGCACTTTGACACTAAATCTAAACGTTGGGCTTATTCATGCACATTTCCCAAACTGGCAAAAATTATACTGCTTCCCTGCATGTGTTGCAGTGTGTCAGAACAAATTTCTTCTACACTCTTTATCCAGGGAAGCTCTTTCTCTTTAAAGAGCCTCTCTTCATTTTTCCAGTTGATGTCTGGGGTTTGCATCAAAACAGTAACTCTAGAGTAGTGTTGGATGTTAGGGCTTTCAGTATTGGCTTTGTTTAAGCTTATGTAAAAAAATAAGTAGCGCCTCCCTTGTTTCCTTCCTCCCTCTCTCAACTCAGAAAACCATGTTGCATCCGATCAGAGGTCAGCCTGGCCTCATACTCTGCTTCTGGTAGCATCCTAGTGTTGAAGGCCTGCAGAGTATGATAGACATCTCTTCTTCATTCCCCAGTGGTTAATGTGTCTGTTTCATTCCTACTGCGGGGTTTGTTGTAAAATATTTCTAGAATCCTTAATGAAATATCAGAGGGATAATCCAGATATTCCTGTTGATAGCAAACTATTTTTAAGATTTGCTAATGTCTGGGGTTTTTTAATAATAGATCTATAAAATCTTTCTTACAGCTGAAATTAGACATAGTGGTTTTCCACTTTAAATAGTCATGACTATGAATATCAGAAGCCCTGACAGATAATTTTAACCTTTTCATCTTGCACACATGGAATATTGGTAATTGTACTGTTAAAATCATTACTGTATGCACTTGATACCAAGGTGTTCCTTTATTAAAGTACAGAGCAAGAATTCTGTAAATACAGAATGTTTTATGGAGGCCATTTCTTATCAATACATGAAAATTTGTTTTACTATATCCTTAAGATATCCTGGTTCTTCAAGTCCAGAATGTGATTAGAAGACCCTGGAGTAGTAGTAAATTGTATTTCCTGTAAAGACATTGCATCCATTTTCCTTGCTGTAGGTGAGGAGTCAGAAGAAGATTCAGATTATAGTGAAGGTGATGATGAAGACTTTGCTCTGGAAAAAAAGAAAGCCAAAGGAAATAAAAAGAAAACCAAACAAAAGATGCAAGCTGAAAGAGAGAAGACGACTCCCAAATCCAAGATTAATACTACAGGTAAGTTTGTAATATGAATTTGAAATAGACTTCTTTATAATAAAAGTTCCTTTTATTTTCACTGAAGGAATAGATAAGTTTGGCTGACAAACTGACTGTGCAGGCTTATGATGAAAATGTCTATATGCAGAGGAAAGGGAGGAGAGTAGAAAAAAATCCTGAAAGAAAAACCACTTTATAGTAAACTAACACTCCTTACAAAAAAAACAGACAAAAGTGAATGGACAGAGTTAATTTCTTTTTATATAACTAGCTTTTAAGAAGAGGTTAAATTAACAATGACTGATCTGAGGATTTTTTTTTTTAATTATAATCTCAGAGCCTCCTCTTGCAGTTGCACTTATGAATTTTTAATTCAAGGCTAGCTAAACAATTCTAGTTCTACTAACCACTGGTGAAAAACATTAATATGTGTGCCCTTCAGAGTTAATTGTTCACTGTGTTTCCAACACAATAGCTTAAGAAAATTCTTATCATGGTGCTAATCTTGTATCTGCCTTGGTAATGTGTTTTAATTTCAGGCCTGAGTTTACAACATGTAATTTAGTTGAAAATTAGTTTTAGTTATGACAAGGAATGGTTTGCTTTGTGTAGCTGAAGGAAGCACCTTCCCTCTTAGAAATTTGATTTCTGCTAGATCCTCAAGAAGAAATTGTTACACTGCTGATTTTCAAACCAGAACTGAAATTCCAGAGTATAACAGGACTGACTGTATAAATATATGCTGTTAAAGATGTGTCAATCTAGTAACATGCTCATTATTTCACTCAATGCAGAGTTTGTGCTGTACAATGATCTGTCATCTTCTGCTAAAGAGTATCTTTCTGAGGTTGCTTTTATTTTCCAATTAAGTATCACCTATAGTTTCTCCTTCACGGATAATGGAACAGAAATCTGAACCAACAGAAAAGATGATGTTCAGTTCTTCAGAACCAGCTGGGAAGCCTTTGCATACATCAAGTCCTGTAACAGACAAGAAGCCTAAATGGATACCACCAGGTACCTGTAAGATTGAAACTATGAATATATAGATAATTGACTTAAGTTTTTAGGAATCTCTTCTAAAAGCAAACAAACCAGTAGGCAGTATTTCAGAAAAATTACTGCCCTCTTGTAAGGAAAGGTATTCTTTAGACCTTAGATTAAAAAATAAAAAAAAGGAGGGGGAGGGGGGGGAGGGAAAGGAAAGCTACCTCTGTGCTTCTTTTCATCTTACAGCATTATCCTTAAATGCTTATGTGAGGAGGTTAATAAAATATTTTCCAGAATGTAGATCAAATCTTAAGCAATTGTCTTGTGTCCATTTCTCTGTTAGTAAGAGCTTTCTTTATCTGTGGCACTTGCTGCATTATTAGATAAATAATAATAGAAGAACGTTGGGAGCGTTTTAACTGCTTTAGTAAAGCAAATGCTTAGAAGCTTGCTTTTCTTAAGGTGTTTGAGCATGCTGCTGCTGACTCCTGCCTCTTCTTTTCTGTACACGTTTCTTTCTGTTTGTCTCCTTTCTCTCAAGTCTCTTTTTCCCACTTGGAATTGTGTTCAATTGTTTGATTCTTTATAGAGTCAGTACACTGGGCACAGGTTTTATGTGCTTGCCCAATGTTGATCCAGTGTGTTACTGGTTACTTGAAACTGCACCATACCTGCTGCATTGGCTCCCAGCGCGCTTCTCTTGTATGTTGTTCAGACCTTTTTGCAGTGTCTTTAGAATACTTTTTTGTTCTGCTGTGAAAACTATAAAAAGACAAGAGTTTTATGATTATTTCCCTCCCTCTTAACTTCTTGCACCTTCTTTTTGTTTTAAAATTATTTTCAGCTGCATCAGGAAGCAGTAATAACTCTATGAAACATGTTTCAGTTAAATCACCTACTCACTGTCTTAGACTCGGCCTCTCCAGACTAGCAAGAGTCAAACCACTGCATCCCAGTGCTACCAGCAGTTAAGTGGTCAGTAACGAGGTGCCACATGATGGAAAAGACTTTGGAAAGTGTTTTGCTTATAGGGGGTGGACAGCAAAAGCTTCATGGCATCATCCATTTTGGAGGACTGTTGTTTCTGTACGTTTCTAATACTATAGTGAATGCTAGGCATCCATAAATGCTACTGAATAATAATATTATTTAATCAAGGTGGCATCTGGGTCACCAGCTCTTTGATGTATTATACTCAGAGATGAAAATTTGTGATAATCTTAATTCTCTGGTATCTAAACTCTTGGCTTTAAAATAGTCGACAATACTATGTCAGTTACAGAATTTGATCTCTCAAAGGGATTCTTAACACAAGTGAAAGTCACAGTTTGAAAAATATTTCTTGGAAGAAATATTATCACTTTCCACCCCCTACTTGGGAAGTTTGTCACCACTCTCAAAATCTGTTAATGTTTGCATATCTTGTACATGGATTTTAATGACTTTTTATGTATTATAGATAAAAATATTTTTAGAATGTTGTATTTTTAAAAAAAAAAATAAATAAAATACTTTGTATTGTGTAATTAATTACATTGATTGACTTTATTAATTTTGAAAATAACTTCTAAATTTAGGCTACAGTCTAGCAAATATTTTTGCATGTGCATACTCTTACTGGAAGTCAACAGCATTAGCCAGGCTCAGAAGATGAGGATTTTGCTTTGAGCTCCTCAGTTTTCTTTGGAGACCATGATACCAGGCATAGTTAGTGGATGTTGAAGTGATAGTTACTGAGTGATGAGACTGAGCTTCCAAACTTATTAGTCCACAATATAAATTATTTCCTATCTAAGTGTATTGGCTATGTCAGATGACACAGCAGATGCATTTATCCCTGTATTTATGAAGGGATTTGGTCATGACTGAGTGAATTGCACTAAGAGAGGAATATATAGCCCTATTCAGAGCTATAAGCATGGTGCTGCCTAAAGTAAACCCATAGTATGACAAACTACTTTTTAGCTGTATAGTACTTACATTATTAAAACAAGATACTAATAAGTACATATTTATTAAAATATGCTTATTATTATTATTAAAATATGCATATTTATTACAGTATGCTTATTGCCTTATGGAAGGAATGAGAAGAAATCTGTGGATGAAAGTCTGTTTGTCAGAAACAGGGAAATGTGGGCATTGTGACATATCATCTTGCATCATCTGCATTTTGGATGCCTGACTCCTGGCATGGAATCACGTAGCCCTGAGTGAAGTGTGTTCCAGTGGGCTGGGCTAAGCGGGTTTAGGAGGGGAGGCACATGCCTGCTGTTCCTAGTGCTTGTCTGACTCGTTTGTGAGTGTCTTAGCTTGCTAAAATGGCACATCAGAAAAAGAGAAGGTTGCAGCAGGTTGACATCAGATGAGCTTGAAAATGCTTTCAAACAAGGGTGAAGCGGGAGGAGGAAAGGTGGGTATCCAAGAACAATGCTTGTGACAACTAGTATGTAGTATGTACATGAAGTTATTCCTCTCCTTGATTCCCCTGCTTTGTGCTTACTGAGTTAGCCCCTTTCTGAGGTGTGCAGTGGATAAGCGGCTGCAGCAAAGCGGGAAGCACAGAGAGCCTTGGGCTCCAGGGTGGTTCGTTACAGCATCCCAGTGCATTGCCCCCCATTCATGCTTCAGTCCTCTTCTTTCCGCGGGGAATGGTCACACAAACGAACAGCTGTACGGTCCCTCGCTGCTTCGTGGTCACCAGGTCTCTTCTATTGAAATGAAACTCATGAATTGTTTTCATTTTGTGATTTTTCAGGGATAAATACAGATTTCATGTGGTTGTGCGTTTTTTTGCTACAGGCATCAACCACCTCTTTAGGAAGCCTGTTCCAGTGTTTGACCACCCTCTTGGTATAGAAATAGTTCCTAAAGTCCAGTTTGAACCTTCCCTGATGCAGCTTTGAGCCATTCCCACACATCCTGTCACCAGGTACCGGGAGGAGAGACCAGCACCTCCTTCTTCACTTCCCCTCCTCAGGAAGCTGTAGAGCAACAAGGTCACCTGCCAGCCTAATTTACTACAAACTAGACAAACCCAGAGTCTTTAGCAGCTCCTCACAGGACATTCCTTCCAGCCCTTTCACCAGCTTTGTTCCCCCCCTCTGGACACATTCAAGGACCTTCACATCCTTCTTAAATTGTGGGGCCCAGAACTGCACACAGTGCTGAAGGTGAGGCCACACCCACGCTGAATACAATGCAACTGTTGAGCTTCATGTCAGCCAGCACCCCCAGATCTCTCCCTGCAGGGCTGCTCTCCAGCCACTCCTCTCCCAGTTTATACTTGTGCCTGGTGTTACTCCATCCGAAGTGCAGAATCTAGTATTTGTTCTTGTTAAGTCTGATGATTGGTCAGTATCCCAGTCTAGATCCCTCTGCAAGGCCTCTTGTTGTGTTCAGGAGAATGAAAACTGCGCTCTTGGATCCAGGTTCCTCATTTATGTTCACCGACTCTTATCCACACTTGAAGGTTCTGTTGCATAGTCTGCGTTCTTAGTCTGTAGGAAAGTCACATTTATTTTCTGTAGGAATTTTGTTCACCAATGAGATTTGAAAGTGTGCTGAGGAAATGGACACTTTACTTATGAATGAATTTATTATCAAGCCTGGATTTTGCACTGATTTTTAATTCCTCAGTAGTGTTGAGAGAATAGCTCACGTATCATGGTCACAGATGTTATTTCTGTGGCATTGAAATATCACAGTGGTGGAAAGGATTGAGAGATTTTGATTCGGAAGGATAAGTATTCTTCCTCAAAATGGAGTTTTATCAGTGAATGAGTATGATTTTTCTTCATCCTGGTTTTCTAGTATATGTACAAAGGTACATTTCATGACATAAACATTAGGAAAAATATAAATTAAACAAAGTCATTGTATTCAGTTACAATTGAGGGAGCTGGGGATAGATCAATAATTGATTGTAGTGACTGATGAATTGTAAATTAGTGGAATAGATTTGTGAGTAAACTAAAAGCTGTTGTAGTGTTTGAGGTTCTTACTATAAAATATTTTTCTACTTATGCACAAGTTCTTGAAAATAATTTGTTTAGGCTTTGTTTCTACGCTCAGACTCAGCCCTGCACTGAATTTCAACAAAAGATATCTAAGAACCTGTAATAGAAACTACCTGTAAAATTTCCTTTCCTGGGGATTAGGCAAAGTAATTGCGGAAGAGATTCTGAACAGTTCATATCCCCAGCATGGAGACAGGATCTATCAGTCCTGCCTTGACAGTGGCTTGTCTAAGTCTTCTCTGGGAGTGGTGGAGAGTCCCCAGCTTCTTCAGGTGATCTGTTCCAGAACTTGAGTCTAGCAGAGCACACTACTTTTCGTAGTGGTAATGAGGTGAGATCTTTAGTCCCCAGCTTCTTCAGGTGATCTGTTCCAGAACTTGAGTCTAGCAGAGCACACTGTTAGAAAGCTTTTCGTAGTGGTAATGAGGTGAGATCTTTGAGTTTTTCATACAGCCTGTGGGCTTGTTACGCTCTCCTACATCTCCAGGTATAAACTGATCTCTCTAGACTTGGTAGAGCTGGAGTCTAGTCAAAGTCTGATGGTGACATGTTGTGGTGTTGTTTGAATCTCTCTATGCAGTGTAATTCTTCCTCAAAACGTTGTTAACCAACTCATGGAGATTGCCTTAGTACAGTTTTTAGTTTGTGTTACTCTGCCTTGTCCTCATGTTTCTGGTAACGCGTCTGGGAAGCAGCGTGTGAGAACATAAAAATTCTTCAGTGGATAAATTAATGCAGCTTAACTGACCGGCAATTCTTAGTGAGCAATCTCTTCTGTTCTTTAGCATTATCTTGAAAATAGTATGTGCGGAGGATGATAAGTGTCGTATCTCTATGAAATATGAAAAATCATTAACTACCACTAAATATGTGCTCAAATACACATGCTGCTACCATGGCCCTTAATCCATGCCTTTGCAAAGCATTCCAATAATGGCTTCACTGATTTTTTGCTTGCAGATTGGTTGTCTATTTGCTGTTGATACCTTATCAATCATGTTGCCATCATAAGGCAAAGATCACTATTTCAACTTTCATTATTTCTGAAAGAAACCTGAATTTAGTTTTGATTCAGAAGCTCTCAGCTTGTGAATAATTAATTATGTGATTCAAAAGGCTTGACACCCTGCCCTAATTTCCCTGATCTGTATTGGTTATTCTCAGACACTCTGTTAATGTGAAATTCTGTATCTTTGGTGTAACTTAATGCTTACTCAGAGCCATGGGATTTAATAAGGGAAGCAAACCTTTTCCCAATATTTTTGTGATAGGAACAAGAATGCCCAAATGGCATTTCCTGAGATCAGTTGTGTCAGAATTCCGGGCAACTCTGGGCTGTGCTTCCCTAAACTGTTCTTCAAGTTTTGACAGAGGGGTTGGGTGTAATTTGCAAGATGCACTGTCTCTAGGCAGATAGATGTCATCTGTCTTTTATGTTTGATCGCTTTTGTTGTCTCAACTTTCTTTTACCCAGCAGACTAATAATGTATCAGTGCAAACCACAAAGACGAAAAACCAATGTTACCACTTCCTGTGATCCTCTCTGCAGAAACCTGCTCTTTGCATTTTAAAACAGTTTGTCCTGCTACTTCGAAGAATTACTAGTCTGTCTCCACTCATGTGTGGCATCGTTCTCTTGAGAGGAAGCCAAAAAGCTGTGAAAAAAACAGATCTTACTTGCATTACGACTGTTTCTGCTGTGCTGGATTTTTCAGTCCTCACACACCTAATACTCACAATGCACGTGGGCATTTTAAACAAGGACTTTGAGCATGTGTTGTTCCCATATATTTTGGATATTGAAAATCTGAAATTTCATTTTCTTAACTTTTTTCCCCCACAGTTTTTTAAATTAATTGCCTTTGAATATAACTCTAATTTCTAAGAAGTCAAAGATTAGTTTTCCCTAGCCATAACTGAATAAAAGCATGAAAGGATATAAAGCTTGACCAA